ACACAAAAGACAACCCCATTGGTCGTAATCTTACCATAAATATTAACGTACAGTTAAACAGTTGGTTGCGTGTGCTTTACCACACGTTGCAGAACCAACCTCAGCATTTTTATTTGGCTGCTGTAGGATCAGCAAGGAGATCAAAATTTGAATTCTGAGAGCATGCATCTTCCCTGTAGCAACATGCAGATGCGAGTCGTGGACTATCTCCCAGTCCTTAAGAAAGAGAATAGGGACTTTTGAGCTTAAATGCTATAGAAAGATTCTCAGAATATCTTGGACAAAGAAGAGGAAAAATATTGAAATCTTGAAAGATCTAAACATCAAGGAAGATTGGCTAATAAACAGAATCCTGTCTCGGAAGCTGAAATATTTTGGCCACATCAAGCGCCAGGATGGGTTGGAAAACATAATAGCCGAAGGCATGGTACCAGGAAGGAGGGGCAGGGGCCGACTAACACGAAGATGGGCACATGATATAAGTGACTTCTTTAGTATGAAAGTACGTGAGGCGGGAGAGCTGGCGAGAGACCGAGTTTCTTTCAGGCAGACGTTCGTGATAAGAGCGACGTTCTGCAAAGGCCCTGCTAAATGATGAGTTTCCAATTGCCCCTGAACGGGCAGCCCTCGGTACCACCGCCAAATCCAACGGAAGACAAACCGTCCGCAGATGCAATAGAACCCGGCGCTCGGGCACTGCAAAGCGCGTTCTCAAAGCCTAAGCCACAGGCATGTTGTTTCACGGAATTTACAACTTTAGGAAAAGAAAAAAAAAAATGGACCCTTACTACAACAAATGAGCGGAAGGAAGGTCGTAACGGAGATGAGATGTCTTAGGAGAGCTCCCGGTGTGAGAAGAAGAGATAAAATCAGGAATGAAGAAATTAGAAGAAGACTAGGACTGAAACCAGTCATACAATTAATTTAAGAACAACAAATGAGATGGTTTGGCTACCTGACGAGATTGCCCTGGTACCAACTGCCGCAGAGAGCTACGCTGAAGAAATAAAATGAACACAGAGCAAGGGGAAGACCACGCAAGAAACGGAGCGACATCATCAGAAGCAACCTAATTGAAATGAACACAAACTTGAACAATGCATTAAAAAAAGGCAACAAACCATCCTTACACCCCCCTCCCCCCCCCACCCCCTCCCTAACCCAACACCTCGCTGAGGTAAATGATAAAAGAAAAGAAGAAGAAGAAGAAGAAGAAGAAGAAGAAGAAGAAGAAGAAGAAGAAGAAGAAGAAGAAGAAGAAGAAGAAGAAGAAGAGGAAGAAGAAGAAGAAAAAATGAAGAAGAAAGAAGAAGAAGAAAAAGAGGAAGAAAGAAAAAAAGAAATAGTGTTATATACAAGCAAGTCCATCGTTTTTTAAAATGAGGAATGCTAAATAATTCATAACAAAATAATCAAAAACCAAGATCGTGGAATACTGTAAGAAAATCTTAAATCAGAAAAAAAAAAAAAAAAATCAACGTGAAAGAGCATTAATCGTCAAAGCACAAGATAAACTACAGACTAAGAAATGGCGTTGGATGTTATGAGAACGTTGGTGGAAAAAAGGGGGGAAAACCGATTCGTTTCCAGATTTATTTTAAAACCACACCCATCTCCTGACATGTTAAGTTACTGAGATTTATGGGGTTTTTAAAAACACTTCTTTCAGATATGTTTTCCTTCTTCGCTCACACTTAAAAAGGCGGCTGGCATATTGTAGTGCTGTTTACTGCTAGATTGCGATATCTACGTCTTTAGGTCCAATACATCCGATTTTTAGCAAACCATATAAATGTTTGTTTACTTATTCAGTCCCAAGCGACTCACAATACGTTTGTTGAGATTCTTACATTGTTTTCAACTCTTCAGCTTCGTCACCCATCCAGTAATGACGTGAACTTACTTCTTTCCCAGTGTTGTTATTTATCTGCTTCTGACTAAACTTTTGTTAGTTAAAAAATGAATTCTTAGTATACAATGTGATTCAACAGGATTCAACATTGATCTCACAGAGCTTAGAAGCGGTGAGGTCCATTCGACTGGGGGGAAAAATAGTTTAGGAGCATCTGCCCGATGCAGGGACAGTAGGCCAATGGTCTTTCACGTTACGTAAACAATGTAGCTAATGCAGACGGACCAAAATGAAGAATTTGGACAGGTAGAGTCAACCTAACAAACAATTTGTAACGCTAAAGAGTAACTTGGCTTGAGTTACGGTAACAAGAGCGTCACGCATAATATCTATATTACACAACACCGCGCTTGCCAAATGTTTATAGTAATATCGTACGCACACCGCTGCCAAACATCTACTATAGCGCCACATACGGTTGCCAAATATATACAGTAATATCGTACGCACACCGCTGCCAAACATTTACTGTAGCACCACATATGGTTGCCCAATATATACTGTAATATCGTAGTCACACTTGAGCCAAATATCTACTGTGGTACCACATATGGTTGCCAAATATATACTGTAATATCATACGCACACCGCTGCCAAACCCTACTGTAGCACCACATATAGTTGCCAAATATATACTGTAATATCGTACGCACACCGCTGCCAAATATCTACTGTAGCACCACATATGGTTGCCAAATAGCTACGAAAGTAATGTACAAGATGGCTAATATTTATTGCATATCTGTAAACGGTTTTGCAAATAATCCCTGCTACACGCTATCAAGTTGCCATAATAGCTACTGTAGCACTGTACAAGGTCGCCACGTGTTTACTATAGCACTGCAGATGGTTGCAGATCTCTTCTTCTTTTGCCCCCAACGGAGCATAGGCCTTTAACCAATTTACACCAAGTCGTTCTGTCCTTCCCTATCGGATGCAACTCTCCCCCTGTCCTCCTTATAATTGTAACTCTGCTCTCTAGCTCCCTTCTTAATGTGTTTTTTCGTCTTCCTTTATTTCTATGCCCCTGTGTGTTCCAGTGCAAAGGCATTCTGGATATTTTGTTCTAAGGTTTTCTCAACGTGTGTTTTATTCAACGCCAGCGTTTATTCTTCACCTCTTGGTCCACCGTAATTTGTTAAGTTCTCTCCCACAGTTCTACATTAGTGATTTGCCTGGCTTGAAACACAAAAATACACCCGCATATGTATACTCAGTGATTCAATGAGTATGATCCGGAGGGTTCAGGCAGGTTCAGTGCGAAGACAATGGCTTGAAACAATTCAGAAGTCCACTGTGCGAGGAGTCACCTTTATTTTTGTTCCGGGACACGCAGGCGTCGATGGAAATGAAAGAGCTGACAGGCTGGCTGGATCCGCTATCACTACCGACGGTCGGCCTATGGATCATGCTGATATTATCAATGCCCTCAGAGAAATGGGAAGGATAGAGGACTTTGGTGGCAGTGAATCCACATCACTCGCCAGAATGGCAGACTTGGGAATTAAGATCGGCACAGCAAAAAACGAGACGCACACCGGACACGTCAGAAGATTTGTTAATCAACATAGAACTGGTACTATTAGCCATCGGACGTTGGGATTCATACTGAGGGGAGGATCTGAGCACCTATGGACATGTCCGGAGTGCAATGATGATAACCCAACTAACTAACTAACTAACTAAGATTCTATCATACCATTTAATTCCCTCTATTCTGCGCAGGCACCAGTTAATGAATTTTTCTAGTTAATTAGTAATTGCCTTAGTTGTTCTCCATGTTTCCGCTCCATACAACAGTACTAATTTGACACTAGATTTAAAATATTTTTGTTCAGTAATAGTTTTAATTTCTGTTGATCTCCACAAATTTCCTAGTGCTATGAAAGCAACTCTTGCGCTTGGTGCAAACATGTCTGGTAAATTCAATGATATATGTGAATATAATATACCATACACACGCACACATACACACGCACACATATACATATATAAAGTAAACATAACGTGTGTGTGTGTGTGTGTGTGTGTGTGTTTGTGTGAACGCAAAATCCTCATGTCTCGGCGATGTACTTTTACCGAAGAATCCTTAGAATTCCTTAACAGCCAAAAAAAGCAACCCAGATGTTTTGAATGAGGCGAAAGCTCGAAGACATATCACAAACATCAGAAAGAGAAGGTTATCACTTTTTGGTGTCATGTTATGAGAAGGAAAACTAAGACATATTGTGACCACTGGAAAGATCTGTGGAAAGAAAGAAAGACAGAGGAAGATGGCGTGAAATGATTCTTGAAAGCCTTGTGTCATGGCATGGAGGGGTGTCAACACATGAACTGATACACGCAGCAGCGGATCACAGATTGTGTATAGGCTCGATCGCCCACACCAGTCGCCAAGGTACTCGATGATGATGATGATGAACAGAAAAATCAGCCACCACGACCATCACATAAAAAATGCAGGTACTCAATTTTTAATTCACCTCCACAAAAGGAAATCCTGGAGTTTCAGGGACAGTCCAATATTCTAGGTGTTGGGGTTAGGGTCTTTGTCAGCCCGACCGCCTCACAGAACTGACTAACCATTACCCATAAAACCCCTTAAATATACAGGACTTTCCCAGAAACCGCGGGATTTTATTTGTTTGGTGAACAATTAAAATACAAAAATACAATTCACGTATGCTCACTCATGGAGAAACATATATATATATATACACACAACACCCCCGTGTGGGTTCCGGGGCCCCATTGTGGGGAAAACAAGAATGAACCCACTGCCTCCCCAAAAGCATGTCGTAAGAGTCGACTAATTGGGGAGCTTTCTTTGAAGTCGGAGTGCATCTACCGGAGAGGCAAGGAACCAACAGTCTGTATTCAAGAGAAGGAGATCTGTAAAACTGATGCACACGCAACACTCAGGTTCTGGAGCAGGACTGCAGTTCAGTAGTGGACGAGCAACCAGAACCTTCCGCCAGAGTTTACAGCTGGTGAAGGCGAAGAAGAAGAAGTATACACAACACATGAGACCAACATAAAACACACATTCGCAGGTGAAATAGTAGAAGCTGAAATGACAAGAGCTTACCTCAAATCCTGCCCGTTGTCATCGGAAGATACGTCGTCTATATGTACCTGGTCACACTCCTGCACATAAAAAGTATATATAACAAAACAATATCAATGGACAACATTGTAATGTGGTGCAAAGGCACTGGCTGTAGAATGTGTTCAACAGAAAAAATTATTTAATAAAGTAAAGTCATCTCATATATACAGCTCCTTCACCGACAAATGGTTGCTATGCATTATTTCTAGGCCACAAACAGGACGGTGTAACTGAGGTCTTCACCCGGGCTCCTAGTTGGTCTTGCAGGCGCCATGTTTCTTCTCTCTGGCCGGCATGTTCATGGATGTTCTAAAGCTTGTCTTTGTGCACCAAGTTTTAGAATCGACTGAGCCGTTTATCCTCTCCGGGCTGTCACCTACAGAATCACAGTCTTGACGCCAAGCCAACAAGCCAGTTCCCGGACACCACACTAGTTCTCCAAGAAGGTTGTAATTAGGGCACCCGTAATGGATACACCAGCCAGGTGTAACCTGCATCCAAGGACACACTGGTAGAATCAGAGAGACTCATTCGGTGTAGGTGTGTTCTGAGTTAACAGTCCCGTTCAGCAACTGAACATTCTGGTCTACAGAGATAACCAGCGACCTTTCCTGGTTTGTTGGGAGACTGATTGCACAACCACCAAGAGAATAATAACTCCAAGAGCTGTTGAGAGATTCACAATCACAAAATCTCCCCTAATTGTTGAGAGATAACATATTAGAGTATCTCCCTGACTTGCTAAGAGATCAATTCCCAGTTAGTTGAGAAAATGATAACAAAAGAATCTCCCTGAGTTGCTAAGAGACTGATAACCAGATAATCTGTGACTTGGACTGGTCAAAAGTTCCAGTGGCACAGAATCATCCACAGTTGTTAGAGAGAGATCAAATACTAGCAAATCTCCCTGTGTTGCCAAGAAATGGATAACCTAATGTATCTTCCCAGTCACTCTAGATACTGATAACCACAGAACCTTCCCGAGTTGTGAAGATACTAATAACCATAGTATCTCCCCGAGTTGTAAAGATATTGATAACAAGGGAATCTCCATGAGTTGTAAGGAATGCCCAGAGAATCTCCCCGAGTTAAGCAAGTGACAACCAGAGAATCTCCCGGAGTTTGTCGATATACTGATACCCGCACAATCTCATTGAGTTGTAGACAGCTCTATAATGAACGAATCTCCCGAGCTGCTCAATAAATAAGCTGTTGCCCTGGATTTGTTGAGATCGATACCCACAGTTTCTCCTCTGCACATTGAGATATTAATATCCAGAGATTATTTACAGGCTTTTGAGCTACTGATAACCACAGAATCTCCGACCCATTTTTAGGGTGGCCCGCAACTTCGTTACCAGCTCAAATCTAGCGTGTAGATTATGATAACCATAAGCTACAAAACACGGGTAATTATATTCAATTGCACACATAATCAAATGTAACATCACGAATCAGTAAAACAGACGAGTAATAGATAAGAGTTATCCTTAAAAAATCAAATGCAAATTTTACCCGGATTATTTATCCAATCTTTAAAAAAAAAAACTGTGCAAGAGGATTAACAATCTCAATTATGATTGTTTAGTTTGCACTATATTAAAAAACCAGCAGTGTGCTGGTCAAACAGAAGGAAAGCTGCGGTAGAGTTACGGGCAGGTCGTAATACTAAGAGACCTCGGCTGTAACTAAATATTCAAATCACAGGCATCTGAAGATATCTGGTTCGTGGCTCTATGATATACGATGAACCGAGGGGAGAATGTTCTAGTGTAAGCTGTAGCAGGGAACAGGGTGATCGCGACAGGAAATTGACTATGCCTGAGTCAACACACAGGGTGGAACATTGTGTTAAAAAGCAAGTCTCGGGGCTGGTTTAACCCTTCCTAAATAAGCACTCTTGGCGTGTCGATGAAAACCTCATTATTACAAAAAGAGTGTGCCGAAGCTCGGACCCGGGCACCTAGCTTTCAGGGGCTTGCTGTTTGCACAAAGGATTTAATAAGTTGGAGGGCATGGCTAGTCATGGCCCAAGCAGCCGCGGTGGCGCAGCCGGGCAAACACAGGGTCCCCGGTGCTGAGTTGACTCACGGGCCGGCCTCGGCACATGTCGCACACGAAAGTCGCCGTCTGTCAATGAGATCTGTCAACACGGGAAGGAGTTTTCTAGCGCATGCTCACTGAGGGACGTTTGCTTGGGTATTAATTGATTGCTGGTAGAAAAGAAAGGGGGGAGAATAGGATAACAGTTTTAGAGAGGGCACAATTTATTAAAGCATGATAATATTAAAAATAAAAAAAATTTTCTCCCTCTTCCTTCATTATTCACCTCATCCTAGTCTCATTCTTCTTGTCATCACCCTTTATCCATCAGCACCGTGCTGTACTATTACTTCATCTTTCTATTCTCCTCCGTCTTCAACTCTCCCTCTTTCGACTTCTTTTTCGTCTCATCCTTTTCCTGGTCCTGCTTTTTCTTCGTTCGTCCAATATGTGCTGTTTTGGTGGCAACCTCGCTGTTCTTGTTCAAAGCTGCCAAGTTTGCTCGGCACATGCGAATTCTGTGGGCATGTAATGGTAGCCATACAGGACAACACAATCTTAAGACTATGGTTAGTTCGCTTCTGTGCAGCTGGTGATAGGCATCGCAGTCAGGCACTAACATAGTGGCGTTAGGGGACAGAAGGGATGTACCTAGGAGCTTAGGCCTTCAGATTCCCGTCTCTGGAAAGTGTGAAAGGGTGCCAAGCAGTCCCAATTCTCACTAACCTTGCATATATAGCCGCTTTGTAAATATTGGTTTAATACATTTATTATTTTTTCAGATACTTATTTGCTCCTCACTATATTATTATTTTTAGGTCAATTATGCCCCCCCCCCCCCCCCATCCCAACCATCGATATGTAGAATGTATAACGTACTTTTTACGTCCCTGAGTCAGATAACACATCATGTCAGCCATGATCCATTAACTCTCTCTCTCTCTCTCTCTCTCTTTCTCTCTCTCTCTCTCTCTCTCTCTCTCTCTCTCTCTCTCTACACACACACACAAACTAAAAATATTAGGACACGGGGGGGGGGGGGGGGGGAATAGACAGGCAAACAGTTCAAATAAAAGACACCCCAAACTAGGGTGATATCAACAGATGGCGAATGCACAGTGGCAGAACTGACCTCTAAATCGTTGAAGAATAAATGAGTATCTGCCAGGTTGAAGATGATCTCCTCCATCCGTAAACCTAAAGACATGGAGCCTTGAGGATCCTGAGGAGACAAGAAATATTGCCATGTTACTGCAGAATCAAAACAAAAAAAAAAAAGTTTCGAATTAATTACCTAATAGAAATTACTATATCTACGCACACGCTTTTTTTAGGCAATGACACGGAAGAATGTCAGTTCTGAGAAAATAACATAATAAATAAGTTAGTTTTGAGTCACGATCTACAAACTGTCATTACGACGTCACTGTTTTCGTCTGCACCGTGTGTCAGGTGATTAACACTCTTGACATCCTTAACAACAAAACTGACAGGTTATAGGAAAATGGCATATTTACTGTAATTTATATCATACTTTTAGGGGTTTCCTTTAAAGCCCACTAGAAATTACACCGAAATAGGATAGTTCTGAAACAAACATACATGATAACGATAGCTCTTAGATAATTAAAAAGAAGCACAATAGCTAAAAGACAATCATATATAAACACGGCAGCTCTGCGACAGTCATAAGTAACCAGACTGTTCAAGTGTAGGGAAGAAGACAACACGTAGTAACATGTAATGTCTGAGATAATTATATTCCAGAGCACTAATTCTGCGATAATCATGTCAAAGCGTGAAAGTAATAATGTAATCGCGTGAAAATGAGCAGGTAAAGAGACGATCACGCGATAACGAGCCAGCAATAAGACAGTCACGTGGGATTTAGTCAGAAAAGAGACAATCACTAGAAATGAGCCAGTAAAGGGACCATCATGTGGAAATGAGCCAGTGAAGAGACAATCATGTGGAAATGAGACTATAAAGAAACAATCACGTGGAAATGACCCAGGAGTCAGACAATCCCGTGAAAATGAGCCAGTGAAGAGACAATCATGTGGAAATGAGACTATAAAGAAACAATCATGTGGAAATGACCCAGCAGTCAGACAATCCCGTGAAAATCAGCCAGTGAAGAGACAATCATGTGTAAAAGAGCCAGCAAAGAAACAAATGTTGTGGAAATGAGCCAGTAATGAGATAATCACATGGAAGTGTGTTAGTAATGAAATTGTGTTGGTTAAGCTTCTTCTTCTCCTTAGCACTCACCGGCTGTAAACTCCAGTGAAAGTTCTGGATATTGCACTCCGCATTTGAAGGGAACAGCCCTAATTAGTCGCCTCCTACGACATAATTGTTAGGAGTCGGTGGTTATTTTCCTAATTCTTCCATAATTAGTTGCCTTTTACGACATGCTTGTTGTGGGAAGTATTTATTTTTCCTCCCAGAACTGGGCTCCCAAACACAGGGACGGTTTAGACTTGATTCCTCGTTCTCCTCGTGTGGGCTTTATAAGGAGGGGGAGGGGGAAGGGGGGGGGGGGGGAGAACAGATTCACTGCCCTCTAACAAGTATTCCGTAAAAGGAATAATTAGGAGTGATTCCTGTCTGTCTAAATGGCGAGAAACAAACAGTCTGCATACACTTTAAAACAGACGCGCACACATTAATTAACTCTGGAATGAGACCAAATTTTCAGAGGTGGTGAAAAAACAAGAACTTTCCGTCAGATCTGACAGTCGGTGAAGGCTCATAAAAAAACTCCTCCTATCCCTACTGATAGAAACATAAATATACCATTACTAAGGATTAGAACCAGGTCTTCTGTGTGACAGCCCTGCGTTCTAACCATTGAGCCTGTTGCTTCCCACTATTGCCCTGCATGACAAATAAACGATCAGCCATTCATTACATCGGAACCACTTAAAATAACAATTAAATTCCGCGAGAGTGTGAAGGAATTACAAATAACAAGGAGAATCGTCTGTCACTCTGCCCCTAAAAAATGCCCCGAAGAATAACCAGCATCGTCTTTTCCCCTTTTCCCTGTTATTTCCCAAGCGGCCGCTCAGATGATTAAGGGTCAAAAATGGGTACAGAGGAAATGCGTGTTGCGAGGCTGGAGGCTAATGGAGACCAATTTCCTCATGACAGCCATCATATCATGGTCTTTATTTCCGGCTCCCTGGACAGTTGTTAATATGATAATTTCGGACACAGCTGAGCCACGGGGACCGGCTTCACCAGCGCTGATGGCAAGTCTTGGGCAAGGTCTTGGCTGTGGGGACTGCTCTGTCCTGCAGACGGGCGCTTCGTTACTGTGTATTTTTACATAACAGCCGCTTTCATTTTTAAAGGTCATAACCCTCATAAAGGGAAATCAGAAACACGCTGGAAAACGAGCACTGGTTATAGACATTAGGAAAGAAAAAAAAATCATCCTTTAACAGCTGAATAAGTAAATGTAAAGATCTCTTTTCACGCCTAAGGTGCATCGGGTATATGGGGAGAGTGTCCCATATTTTTACAGACCGATCGGCACTGGATGGGTAATGTGGTCAGCATTACAAAAAGGCCAAATCAAATTTTTTTTCTGAAAACCGTTGTGAAGTTTAGGCCCTGACGGCGCCGGACTTTTTTAAAGACCACATTGGCTCGCAGGTCGACCTAGTCTTAAATGGGTGCCAGGTACAGTCGGGGGAAGTAAAGGCGGCCGGCGTGATATCAATCAAATCACCAATCGAGAGCCGATTGGTCTTTAAAACACAGGCCTAGCCCTATACGCCCAATACACCTGAACGAGCGAAAAAGGGTTCTTTGCTTTACATTACCACCATCATTTGACCACTACGTACTTGACATTGCTGACTCAACAAACACTCATAGATTAGGCGTGAGCCAAACAGCTCTCTGCCAGTGTCTTCGTGCTGCACAAACTCCCGAACAAGTCCTGCGAGACTGTTCTCTCCTACAGGAGATGAGAAACAACACGCTGCAACACCCAGTAGTCAGTTGTGTATCCTTTATAATACGTTGCAGAGCTAATCCCAACATTTTTCTAGGCACATTTTACATTCAATAATTTGGCATTGCCACTAGACGGTCAGCTCTCGGTACAACTGTTTAAACAAACGCAAGCTGGGATCGAACCCGGCACCCCAGATATAGATACACGCTCCTAACTCCTAAGTCAAAGACAATACCCAGTAGACCTCACAGTTAAACTGTTGAGAAACCGAAGCCCAAGAGGTAGTGAAGAGAGACGTAAAACTGACGTATCTTAAGTTCACTGGTCTTTTAAGATAAACCAAAAAGCGTATGATGCGCTTCTTGGGACTGAAAGAGACATTCCAGAGATCGTTGAAGTGAGATCCAGATATCGTTGAAGAGAGATCAAGAGATCGTTGAAGAGAGATCAAGAGATCGTTGAAGTGAGATCCCTAGATCGTTGAAGTGAGATCCAGAGATCGTTGAAGTGAGATCAAGAGATCGTTGAAATGAGATCCAGAGATCGTTGAAGTGAGATCAAGAGATCGTTGAAGTGAGATCCAGAGATCGTTGAAGTGAGATCCAGAGATCGTTGAAGTGAAATCCAGAGATCATTGAAGTGAGATCAAGAGATCGTTGAAGTGAGATCCAGAGATCGTTGAAGTGAGATCCAGAGATCGTTGAAGTGAGATCCAGAGATCGTTGAAGTGAGATCCAGAGATCGTTGAAGTGAGATCAAGAGATCGTTGAAGTGAGATCAAGAGATCGTTGAAGTGAGATCAAGAGATCGTTAAAGTGAGATCCAGAGATAGTTGAAGTGAGATCCAGAGATCGTTGAACTGAGATCCAGAGATCGTTGAACTGAGATCCAGAGATCGTTGAAGAGAGATCTAGAGATCGTTGAAGTCGCTAGTCGAGGTTCCAAAATCACCGCAGACGGGTCTCCTAATACTGCTTCATTGATGTGTCAGTGGAAATAACCCAAAAAGTCCTTAACTGATTCTAGAAGGTGGAGATAGTACTTCGAACAACTTCTCAATATTCTATCTGACACCACAGAAACTCAAGACACCACTGTGGCCACCGCCAAGGAACTAAAAACTGACAAAAATTGTAAATTAATCAAGAATCAGGACAAAATGAAATACTAAATTAGCTTATTAAAGCAGCTAAAGAAGTGGGAATAGCACGATGCAGAAGCTGTTGAACCATATGTTGGTGAAACAAGAGACAACACGAAACTGGGGAGATGTCACGATCATTCCAGTATGGAAAACAAAAGCAATACAAGAGACTGCGCACACTACAGAGGCATACCGGGAACATATTCTGCATAATTCTAGAGAACCGACTACGTTCTGTAATCGGCCCAAACTTTGTGAAGAGCAACTAGGATTTAGGGGATGCACGTGGGATGCAAACAAGCTCGCAGACAATTTCACAGAAATCAATTGAATTTAACGACACACTCTATTTTGCCTTCGGTAATCAAGAAAAAGCATCTGACAGAGTAGATAGGAACAAACTTGAAAAGTTACGGTGTGAACACGCACTTTATAAGCATATGTAAAAGCTATAACAACTGTAAGAACAAATAGAGGACACTCAAAACCATTCACCATAACATCCGAGTAAGGCAGGGCTGTGTCCTGTTTCCTTTCTCTCCTAATTTACAGTGATAACATCTGTAAAGTAACCAACCAAACAAATACACCAAGGCGAAGAAGATCCAAAGCCAAACAGTTCTATCAAACATCTACTATTTGCGGACGATAAAGCATTAAATGCTATTTCAGAAACTGAACTACAAGACCAAATAAATTATTTAAACAAAATCTGCAAAGAGCCTAACATGAAAATTTAAAAAAATTAAAAAAAATAATTAATAAAAAAAAAAAAAAAACGGAGGCCATGACCACACCCAAAGCTCGGAAATACTTGGGAAGTATAATATTATCAACTGGCAAACAGAAGATTAAATTGATGACAGGTATGATAAAGCAAACCAACTCATTGGGCAAATGGCGCCAATACTAAGATAAAAAACAAAAACGCCACTTTATTATACAGTCTTCTTGTCAACTCTGTGCTACCAATACCAAACCTGGACACTGATAAAACAAGAGAGAAGAAAAATTACAACTAAAGTGAGATTCCGGCGAACAGCTCTCCATATAACAAGAAATGATAATATCGAAAACGATTAAATGCGGAGGCAAGTGTGGGTAGCAG